ATCTCTCTGACTTCCCTGCTTCTGCCACCAGCCAAAGAGGGCTCATGTGCTTAGATAATAATATAGATATAAGCCTTTTGCCATAATCAGGGATGTAACACCAGAGGGTAAAGATTATAAGACCATCTTAAAGTTTTACCTATCATAGTCGCCCCTAAAAAGTACGGAATTGGGGCTTATTCCTGGAATTGAGAATAGGGTCAATCATGACATGGACAGGAGGACTGCCAATCAAAACTAGGGCTCTGCAAGTGAAAAGTTTAAGGAGACAATGCGGGGTAGGCAACCACGAGTGTCTGATTTGATTAATTATTTTCTATGAAACAGTTATTAACCTGTCAACATAAATTCACAGAGCTATAATACTGGAGAGGAGAGGTTTATTTTTTATAAAGGGTTGAAGCCTACGGGCTGGAAATCCCACAGGCTTGAAAGTACAGCCTCCAGCAGAAACCAAAAGCAGGCACTTCAAGGGAGGAAAGGGGGAAAAGGAATTTGTGTTGAATGGGTTGGCTAAGTATACATATTTGTGCCTGAAGGGAGGTACACACAGGCCTAAACAAACAGGCATGTTACATGTGTCCGATGTTCACTTTGGGGTGGAGACTTAACATTTAAACTCTTTGCAATTAGGTCCTATATGTCAAATGGCGAAGCAGAGAACAGGAAGGCACTCAGTGCAAGCCTCTGTAAACTGGCCAGAACCAGCCTACCATCAGTGGACACTTACCAGGAGAAAGTTACTGAAATCAGTCTCTGATCCAATCAAAATAGTAGTTATGGCTTGCAGAAAAGGGGTAGGGAGAGGGATCCCTTAGTGTCTGGTGGTTGATGAGCTGCAATTGTTTCAATATTGCTTCCCTGGAGGCCAGTGCTTGTTTAGCTACTAGAGAAAAAGAAAAACCTTGCAGTTGTTAGAACCTAGTTTACTATCTAAGTGTTGGGAGGTGTGACTTAATCCTTACCTGGCACGGCCTTGGGGTCTTGTTTATAATTTCGTATACTTTAACCACCAAGAGTCCATTCTGTCGTTCTTATAATCTCTATTTTAACATCCCTAATGTAGTTAAACAGCAGAGCATCATCTAGCTGGTGATCACTTTTTATAAGAACGTGGTATATATAAACCACTGATCAGGACAAGGATCCCGGCTTCATTTAACTTTCCCTTCCTCTCCCTCCACCCTCACTATCCCCACCCATTTCCTCAGCCTCCACCATGCTCCTCTGTGGACTATGAAGAATGTGGATTCACAGGGAGTTTGACAGTGTTTTCTTGTAAAAGTACTTAGTGTAGCCAGATTTCTCACATGGATTTTTCACTGGTTTGTTTTTATTAGGCAATACAGAAAGATGAGGGTTTTTGGAGAAAGGAAGCACATCTCCTAAGCTCCCTCACAGCGGGTCCTAACACTGGCCATGATGCTTAGAGTGAGCCTTTCTGTGGCTTTCCCTATGTTTCCAGTAAAAAAAAAAAAAAAAAAAAACCACCCCCCTCTCTGAGACGGAGATGTTTCATCACCTGCTCTTTCAATGCATGATTTTCTGTTTCACTGCCTCAAACCAGACTCAGACCACCCATGTTCTTTATTTCAATTAGTTTTACCTGTTTTATGACATCTATTTGGGTTGAACTTTTGGTTCCTCCACCAAAAAGTCTGAAATTCCAGGTCAGAGGTCTCCAAGGATATGTGTTTGCACAAACGTGTGGAAATCCTTAAGAACTAGAAATTACCAGCCAGTCAGCGCGCAGTGCCTTGGTATTTTTTGCTTTTGTGGAGGCTTGTGTTTACCTTCTATTTTAAGTCCTTTCCAGCCTGTCCTCTCAAAGCACCTCGCCTTACCTGGAGCCTTGCTCATTTGTTCTTGCTGCCTCCTTCCTTCAGGAGACCCATCAATCAGTGTCTGAAACAAGGAAGCTTCTGTGTAGAATCAAAAGCCACCACATCACAGCTGAAGGCAACAGAATGCAGTGGGCACTGTTGTTTGTACACAGGCCTTCATCTCTTTCAGAAGTGTCTCTGTTTGAAATGAATGAAGCAGACAAGAGTGTGGCTTCAAAAGCAACTCTCCTCCTCTGGGCTTTACTTATTGAAAGTCCTGTGAGCACTGTTACTAGAAAGTAAAGAATAAAAGGCAAACCTGAGGCAGGCTACAGGTTCCTATGCAAGGCCCTCATACCCAGCCTCAGCTGGCAGTACAGCCGGTCATTTGCCTTCACTTTGTCTATTTGAGTTTGCAAGGTTAACATGAAAGAGGCTGTTTATTTTCTCCCACTGATTATGCTTTAAAATTACATGAACTTCCCTCACCTAGAGCCTTGCCCAGACGTATAACAGGCTTCTCTCTTTGCCGGTACCTCTTAAGGGTGTCATTGCTGATGGAAACAGAGCTACCTTCACTACTGTTGCCATGGCTACAGTTTCTGGACCAGAAGATTGGCTGATGCTTAGCCCAGCTCTTCCACCCGGCTATCATCTCCTTCACAGCAAGAGGCCTCCTTATTCCCTGATCTATTTCGTGTTTGGCTGGAAGATGGAGAGCACATAGTTTTCTACAGTACTTACGACCCTTCTGTAGGCTCTTAATGACCCTAATGTTGATTAGGACCCAAAGTCTTGGGCCAGTGGAAAAGTTAAAACAAAGTTCAAGACTCATATAGATGATGATCCCAATAACCATCTAAATGGCTTGAGAATCATCACCTCCATCTTTTGTCCGCAGAGGGTTTGCAGTGAGTGCTAGAGAGTTCACACCCAAATATCTGGCCCACCACGGGGAAGTCTAAAGGACTGTACAACAATTATTTGAAGTGTAATTTCTTTTATCAATTCACTTTATTTTTCACACCCTTTTTTGCTACCTAAATTTTCCTCTTAATGTCTCGCATCGTTTGTATCTTTTTAAAGTGCTTTAAATTCTTTTGAAACTAAACTACGTATAAGGAAAATATAGGTATAATCATCAAAAATCCATTGGATTCTTGCTATTAGGAGGGGAGGGGGTAAGTACAAAGGTTTTTATGTCCAAAAAGGGACAAGTTAACATAATGCAAAGTACCTAGAACCTATTCTGTGTAAAATCAAATTGAATAATTTTATATAAATTTTCCTTTGGAAAAAAAAGTACACATGATTAAAGAAAAACTGAATTTCTGGTACAAAGGAGGAATAAGGACATGGCCTTCCTAATCCAATAAGCTCCGTGAACAACCAAGGGCCTGCCAGATAGAGTTGTTTCCACAAGAAAGTTGGGCAGTATCTTCAAAAACCTGAGATGGGCGGGGTGTGGTGGCTCACACCTGTAATCCCAGCACTTTGGGAGGCTGAGGCGGTCTTATCACTTGAGATTAGGAGTTCGAGACCAGCCTGGCCCAACACGGTGAAACCCCATCTCTGCCAAAAATACAAAAATTAGCTGGGCATCGTGACACATGCCTGTAGTCCCAGCTACCTGGGATCCTGAAGCAGGAGAATTGTTTGAACCTGGGAGATGGAGTTTGCAGTGAGCCAAGACTGCACTACTGCACACTAGCCTGGGTGACAGAGTGAGACTCCGTCTCAAAAAACAAAAACAAAAACACAACTTGAGATGGACTGTATGAGCAGGTATCACGGAGGTGCCCAGTGGGTTCTAAAAATACCAGTGTCCTGCACACAGCCAAAGCTTTACGAATATATAGCAAATAAACAGGGAAAATAAGTAACATTATGCCTGTGTGCTAAATAAATTCATAGATAATATTCAAATTAACCCAGGTAGAAATGAGTTAGCAATTCTGTGAAAAGTGGTTGCTATCAAGGGTGTTAGAGTTATTTTAATCCTCTTGACAACACTTTGAGATACATGTTTTTATCTCCAGTTGTTTTTCAGATAAGGTTGAGGAAGGTTAAGCAATTTGTGCAAAATCATATAACTAGTAAGTAAAAGATCCAGGACCTGAGCCCAGGGCTGTCTGATTCTAAAAGTAGAATCTATCCCCTCAGCGTACTCCATTGTTTCCCAAGCTAATGTTAACACCACAAATCTGGCCAGGCAGAGTGGCTCGTGCCTGTAATCCCAGCACTTAGAGAGGCCAAGGCAGGTGGATCACTTGAGGTCACGAGTTTGAGACCGGCTTGGCCAACATGGTGGAACCCCATCTCTACTAAAAATACAAAGATTAGCTGGGTAGGGTAGTGTGTGCCTGTAGTCCCAGCTGAGGCAAGAGAATCACTTGAACCCAGGAGGTGGAGGCTGCGGTGAGCCGACATTGTACCACTGCCCTCCAGCCTAGATGACAGAGTGACACTCTGTCTCAAATAAAATAAAAAAAAAAAGAAAGAAAGAAAAGAAACCACAAATCTGAGGCCCCATCCCAGACCCACTGAATCAGAATCTCCAGGGAGGGACTTGGAAACATTTGTTTAACAAGACACCAGATGATGATTATTATCAGAAGAGTTTTTTTAAAAAATGTCTCTATGGCATGCGATAGGAAATGAACCTATAGCTTCCTCTGAGTGATCAAATAGGAGCCATCAGAGATTTGAAGTTCATACAACTAAAAATAAATCAGGTCAGTCTGGGGTGTATCAGATTATGATATTATAGACTCTTTATTCTTCAGTTTGGTAATACAGCATTGTCTGATTTAAGGTTTTCTGGATCCTAAAATACCAAGAACATTTGAAAAGTTAAAAATGGGTTCCAGTTTAAACCTCAGACTTTTTTTTAGCTTTCCTCACTGCCTCTGATCCTGAGGAGCAGAAGTGAATGTGAATGCACTTTGAATTCCTAGCAGCTTTCACTGGTACAGAGGTTCCAGCTGTATAGGGGCTGGAGGACTGCTCGGGAGAACCACAAGCTGAGAATCAGTCCTCATCTCTGGTTGCCCCCATCACCCGCTCCCCTCATTGCCTTTCATTGGACGAGCAAGTCACACAATCCAGGAAGTAGAAAATCTATCATTGCTTGGTTGGTTTTTCTTAGTTTCAGTTTTTCCACGCCTGATGAGAACTGCCGAGGCACAGCAAAGCCTGCAGCTTCCATACCCATCCTGAGAGCAAATAACTTATTCGCACAACTTAAACACTTAATTAACTAAATGGAAAGCAAGGCAGCGAATGATTCCTGACATGGCTGAATTTAAGTCAAGCTGTGAAGCTCTAGGGGCAGCCAGAAATGGAGATGGACAACATGAACTGAAACCTGAGAGCTTCTGAGGGGCTTTGGACCACTGCTTCTCAGCAGTTTTTCTTGTAAGTTACTCCCCTCATCTCAAAGAGAAATTTAAAATACGGTTGGAGAAAAGTATAGAACTGATTATCCCCATTTTGAGCATAGATCATCATTTAACCAACTTGCTTTATAATTGCCAAGAAACTTGCTTTGAATGGTATTTCCAGACGTAGTATCTACAATAGCAAATATTGACAATTGCATTTTACAAATAATCAGTTTAATATGCTTTAATATGCTTCTATTTCTGAGTGCTCTTGATCTTATTTAATCTTCCAAGCAACTCTGTGAGGTTGGTATGCTTATTAACACAATTTTACAGATGAAGACACCTGTAAGCAGCTTTCTCACAGGGTATTTAAGGGACTTGTAGAAAGTACACAGCCAGTTTCTAGGAGCCCATCTCATATCACTACACTACCTTCACCCTGAAGAACTTTATATACTTAGGACATTCATTTCTAAAAAGACAAATTGTCATATTAGATCAAAACATAAGATCCAACAATATGTATGTTGCTTAAAAATAGGAACCTGTAACAAAAAAAAAATGCAGAAATGCTAAAATAAAAAGGTTTAATGAGAAAACTCAGACAACAAAAAGAAAACAGCTGGTGAAGCTGATAGCATATAAAAGAGATTTTGGAGCCAAAAACATAGGGGGAGGGTATGAAGAAGCTCCTGATTATGATAAAAAATATAAAATCAACTGTGAAGACAGATTACCAAAGTAAGAAATGAAAAAACAAATAGAATAAAAAATGAGCAATTGTAATTGGAGGGTTTAATTCACTTCAAGGCTAAGAAAATAGACAATATTAAAAAATAAAGACAAATAAATAGACAAAAATTTAGAAGACATTTAAGATGTGACAAAAGAGACAATAGAGGTTATGAGTGTTACACATTTGAGAAGTTAGAACCAATAGACATATATTGAACTCAATACAACATAGATTATACATTTTTTCCCTATTGTGAGCATTGGCACATATTTACTAACTCTCAAATAAGTCCCCAAAAATTGAATCAAGAGGAAAAAAATATACATATTTTCTCACCACATGCAATAACACTAAATGTTAATAATACAAGTAAAAGCAATGAAAGAAGCCTTGGGCAAAATAATAATCTAACCAAGAGCCTTTGCACAAACAGTTCAGGGGTTAGATTTTAAACTCCCTTCCTTACTGCAGTGTGACCTGGGCAGTTTACTGAACCTCTCTGAACCTTGGATTCCTCATCTAAAAATGTGGCTCTACTTTGCAAAGCTGTTATGAACACTATCTATGAAGTATGTCAAATAAACTAAGACTGAAAAGAGACTTAAAACCATAAGCCATACAATGAGACTCTGTTTTTAATGTACTTATATTTTATTTAACTAGAAAAAAAGTCTAGAATTTTTGTTTATTGAAAGCAAAAGTCTATATAAAATAAATATAAATAAATATAAATAAATAAATATATAAAATGAATAAAATAAATAAATATAAAATATTCATCTAAATACTAATAGTGGTTATCTCTATGTACTGATATTTCTGCCAATTTTTGTTATATTGCTTTACCTTTTCTACTATGAATATATAGTATGTGAATAAAAAATAGTACATATGAAAATAAACATGAACTTTTGAAAAACGGAGTACAGGAAGAAAATAAATATTTACACTTGGGTGGCCTACAGATGGTGGTTGCTGTAGGCATGCAGCCATCTCTGTTGCCTTGACTGTCATTGTGAATTCTAAAATACTCTCAATTTCTCTTTCTCCACATATACATGCACACACGTATATAAAACCCACACACACACATGTATAACACAGTATCAGTATAACTGACCATTTGAATGTGGGCTATGTGATTAGATAACCATATGGTATCAATATGAAATTTCCTGATTAAATTTCTTGAATTTTATAAAAGAAAATATTTGTCTCAGGAAATATGCATTGAAGTATTTAGGTATATATATATATATATATATATATATATATATATATGCAACTTACTCTCAAATTGTTAAGAAAAACATTCACATATACATAAAGACAGAGTGAGAATAACTAGGGAAAAATGCAAACAAATGGTGCACCCAGGTAAAGGGTGTAGAGGAGTTCATACTGGCCTTTTAACATTTCTCTAAGTTTAAAATTTTATTAAAATATTAATAAAAATTTACAGCAGCAACAAATTAATGGGTATCAATGTCTAACAACAACAAAACCTTTCCTAAACAACAAGGTCAAGTTCAACAGGGGTCTCCAACCGCTGGTAGCAGTCTGTGGCCTGTTAGGAACCCGGCCACACAGCAGGAGGTGAGCAGTGGAGCTTCATCCGTATTTGCAGCCACTCCCCATCACTCACACTACTGCCTAAACGCCACCTCCTGTCAGATCAGTGGTAGCATGAGATTCTCATAGGACCGCAAACCCTATTGTGAACTATGCATGCGGAGGATCTAGACTGCCCGGCCCTTATGAGAATCTAATGCCTGAAGATCTGTCACTGTCTCCCAACACCCCCAAATGCAACCATTTAGTTGCAGGAAAACGACCTCAGGGTTCCCATTGTTTCTACATTACGGTGAGTAGATTATGGTTATATATTATTTCAATATATATTACAATGTAATAATAACAGAAATAAAGTACACAGTAAGTGTAATATGCTCACATCATCCCAAAACCATGGCCCATCCACCTGCATTCATGGAAAACTTGTCTCCCGTGATACTGGTCCCTGGTGCCAAAAAGGTTAGAGACCACTGAAGTAGAAAATTAAGAACATGGTAATAACTTCTGAGATGTTTGTAAAACTGAAAATACCATATATCAAAAGTGAGGCGGCTTTGTATGAATCAGGGCCCAGAGATTAAGGCATAAATCTACATGCTTTTATTTTAGAAATATGAAATTAGCATTTAACTTAAAATCTTATGAAGACAGTCAATGTAATGGAAAACAGAGATAATAATAAAGAATAAGGACAGAAATAAAGTAGAAAAGAGGAAATCAGTGGAAATAATAAATTTAGATGCTCATTCTGTAAAAAGATTCTAAGATAGATCAACCCCTGGAAGACATAATAAACAAAAGGTATAAATCAGCAAAATTAAAAACAAGACTGATCTACATAATTTTAGAATACAAATGATTGCAATGCACAATTTATGATAATCAATTTGAAATGCTTAGCCAAATGGATAACACAAAATACAAAACCAGCAGGAGAAGATGTAGACAGCATGAAAATAATGATGAAGGCAAAGGAAAAATTGTTATTTATCTCATCCACCACAAGAAATTTATGACCTCAACAAATTTACTGAACGTTACTACATACTTAAGAAACAGATTTTTTCATATTATATAATCAGTTCCAAGTCACAGAAAAACAAGATCTGATACCCAATTCATTCTAAGAGGTGAGTGTTACCCCCAGCCACAAACCTGTGAAAAGCACCACACAGGCACACACACACCTAAAGACACAGTCTTAGGATGGCAAATGTGCACAAGTGCCAATTCCAATAAAACTGGCTGGAAATGATTAGAATCAGGCTCAAGGACGTTAGCAGATTTTCCCAAAACAGCTGTTGAATAAGTGAATATATGAATACATGAATGAAGAAAATAATGCAAGCAATTAGCAACATCTACTAAGGATCTGAAAGGCAGGAATGGCTTGTGCATACTATTTGCTGAATTTTATTGATCGATACATTTTATCGATCCAAGGAACATTCAATGAGCATAGGCAGAAAAATCATTTTGAACTGAGCTTATAAAATGCAGCTATAAATTAAAACAATAGCATGTAGTGACTAAATAAGGTAAATTCTACCAATGCCAGAAGATTATAATGAATCACAGAATATCTTTTGTGAAAGAATTACTATTTGGTAGGGTATAAGATTAAAAAGTAAAATTGAAGAAGTGAAGACACTAAGGATATTCCTGAAGGAAAAAACAGTAAATCTCATTACCCAAAAATGCAAAACTCTATGAAACGAAAGACATCACAGGCGATATGAAAGACGAAATGCAAACTGGGAGGGTATTTGCAATGAACCAACAGAAATATGGGCAAAAGATATGAATAAGCTATTTTCAGCAACAGAAATTTGAATGAACAGTCACACACATAAGAAAATGTTCAACCTCACCAGTAATCAGAAAGTTTAAAATTAAAACGAGATACCACTTTACATCCATAAAACTGGTGAAAATTACATAATCAGACACTATCAAGTGTTGGTGATGATGTGGAAAAATGGAAGGAACACTCACATTTTTCCAACAATATGTTCACAGGGGTAACCATTTTGAAGAATATACTGTCAGCATCTTACTAACTCTGACAGGGCATAGATCTTATAACCCAGTCTAGGAGTAAATTCAGAAGCTTTCACTTCTGGATGATGCAGTGTCTACTGCAAGTATCCATCAACCCAACGAAAAAATTCTGATACATTCACACAATGGGACCATTTATAGCTGTTCTATCAACAGAGGTAAATCTTGAAAATACACTGCTGAGTGTCAAAACAAGTTGTAGATTGATGTGTAGAGTGTAAAATTTGAAAACATACAAAATAATGGTGCAGTCAGTCCTCTCTATCCATGGGCTCCACATCCATAGATTCAACCAACCAAGGATAAAAAATATTTGGGGGAAAAATAACACAAAGTTCCAAAAGGCAAAACTTGAATTTGCCACATCCCGAGTACCATGTTAAAACCAGGCAAACAAAGCAATGTGTAGGCATTGTATTAGGTTTTATAAGTAATCTAGAGGTGATTTACAGCATATTAGAGAACGTGCATAGGTTATATGCAAACACTACACCATTTTGTATCAGGAACTTGAGCATCGGCGGATGGTCCTGCAATCAAGCCCCCACAGATACTGAGGAACTATCATATATATTTCACAGCTACATACGTATGCTGCAAACATTACAAACAGACGTGAGCATGACAGACATCAAACTCAGGCTGGTATTGCCTCTGAG